TATATTTCTCTCTTAAACATCATTTCTTAAGTTAACTAAATTGTTGAGACAATAAAATATTACATAGGTATTACTCGATTGTTTTTCATAGCTGCCTAGAAATTATGGCCTTATATGATATCTGCTGCAGTACTATTATATTATTTATAAATAAAACAATATCGATTTTAGAGTACTGGGATTGTAATGAACAAGATCACCAGTGGGGACAGTCGAATGTATCCGACAGACAATTACAGGACTTGTTAATAAAATCTAACAATCATAAAGTAAATGCTTAATTTGCAAAATATTCAACAATTGTCTCAAAATGACTCAGAATTCATTGCTCTTGCATTTTCATACAAATTACATCCTCTTTCTGTTCTTTACTGCTCGATCCTCTTGTCACTCTGCTGCCAGACCTTCTGTTCACGACTAACATCATATACTACTTATGTCAATATAAGTAGCACACACCATAGCATGTCTAAAATATATGGAATACTAAGAAAATTTCATTTACGAATATTTAGGATTTAATTTCTTTTGTACGCTGGCTGTATATGACGTTATGTTCAAATTCATTAAACAATTAAATAAGCTAAAAGCCTAATAAAATCACTTGCTTATCATTTATGATGTTTAGAACCTGTTGGTTGACTACATGGAAAACACTGCATGATTTTTTTTCACTCATTTTGTTCTCATGATTACATACCAATTGGTTTCACATGAAGTAACAGAATCATTCACTGAATCAAATCGTAACAAAAGAATTCCAAATTCATTCAGTTTCAAGTCTGTTTTTCATCTAAGTTCATATTAGTTTCCTTTGTTAGATCATATATTCTTTATAAAATCTTGTCAGCACACGTCTACAATGAAGGCACTGTTCGTGTCTAAACACAGTTTACAGTAACTAATTTGATGAGTACAGGTAATATGTTATATTTGTAGATTATATTCTTCTGAACAACGAAGTCACTCCCGTTGTATACCTTCCATGTTTTCATCGCAGATAAAGCGATCATAAACCCAATCATATATACTTTCTCTTCTACAAGTAATCAAATATTGTGTTCTAAATGTAACAGGTATATCTACAAAATTCTAAACTCATTATAGATTTTTATTTTATAGGCTGTGACTACTAAGATCCTTGTGAATTCAGATGACAAGCTCAGATAGAAAAAGATTCCTTTGATTTGAATTTTACTGCTTTTCTTCCATTAAGTGAACAACAGTACACTATGGAATAATATCTGTGAATGTCAGAAATGGTAATAATACAATGAAATGAATACTTATTTACATTCATAATGACCAATTGTATAAACAAAGTAAATGAAAGTAAAGATTTTCAACTTATCTTATATACGTAATCATTTCACTTCTTAAAAATCATACTGATTAGATAACTAATTACCAATGATAATCAGAATGATGAAATAGTTAAATTTCCTACGTATCCTCAATGTTACATTGTTAAAGTACTGAGTAAACGTTTATAAAATTGTATCTGTAAACAATATCCACTTGTTCAACTTTATAAAGTTTCAAATTTCGCGTCAGTGTTTTGACTTTAAAAACTATTGCTCCAATTTACATTTATAACGTAATGAATTGGAGACATTTTTTGTTTTCTTTCATTTTTGATAGATTATTTAGTAATTTACCGAACACAGATTTCAAGATTATGTACGGCATAAAACTGACATATGATGCCGACATATCTGCCAATGGAGAAGATAGAAATTATGAAAATAAAAATCACTCTCTGATACATTTCAACGATATATTTATTTTGTTTAGTAATGTCTGTATTCTTTTAATGGGATAATGTAATGATGCTTTTACTGGAAGACTTCAATTACCATCATTGAAAGTAATCCAACTATTATCGAGACGATATTCAGAACATGCAGTTTCTTCATTGTCAGTAAGAAATTTAATCACAACTAAAAAAAAAATGAATCGCCGAATGAATACCATCCTTATTGTAAAAAAATATATTTCCATGACATTTATTGATTAGTTCCCGATTGCATTTACTCATTCAATGATAAAGGTACTATCTATTACTTACTATTAGCTTTTTCTCATTGATGTCTTATTATTCTGAATAAAAACTACATTATATAAGTTCTCTCCCATTTTATACCATTGTGACGTGTATATATATTTTATTCGTGTTGGTGAACAATCATAAACTTTCAGTATATTTAAAGGAATAACTAAATAATCATATACAAGTTCAAACTAGATAATGGAACAAACTGAAATAGCAAACAAAATTAAGTTGGCGAGCATAAATGAATTATTGTTAGAATTTATATAATTCAAAAATATTTCTATTGACAAGAAATATTCTAGTCAAGAAATGCCTGTGTGTATGAACTACGAGACAGTGAATGAACTTGATATCCAATCTCGTGTAAACATGAAGGGTGTTTCAACAAGGAATTACAAAGCAAACAACGAAGGTGAGATCAAGTTTGTTACATGTTTATTCTGTGGCAAATTTCATTTTTGCATTTCATGTGCATTTCGTTATGCTAAATGTTTTAAATTTGGTAAGATAGGACACATTCAGTCAGTATACAAAGCTGCTGTTCATTTCGCCTCAAGTGGTACTGAATCTTGTAATTTAGATCTCAGTAATTCGGCTGTTCCTAATGATCATTTATCTTTGTCTACCATTTTGAAAAGTAATGTTCATCTTCAAACTTCTAATTCGAGGATGCTATGATTTGATAATAATAGACGATAGTTCTTCATACATGCCTTGTGAATTTTTAGTCAGTGAAACAGGACTGTCAATATTGGATTTAAAAAATTTGAAAGGAATTAATGTGGAGTTGTCTTTACTAGTTTCCAAAGACAATTCCGATGTTTTACTTAAAGATTTGATAGCTACGTGTGCTAGGTGCAGTAGAGGTATTAAAATTCAGCCCATAAAACGTCAAGTACAGGGTGAACCAGACTTTCTTAAGAGACGAATAATTCTTTATGGTCTTCGAGAAACAGCACACAAAACGTTGGACGATTTGTGTGTGAAAGATATAATTGAATCTATTCAGTCTTCAGCATGGAGGCTGAACATATTGTAAGTCGACTTCATGATTCTAAAGTGTTCTGGAAAGTTGGATTAAAAGATGCTTATCTTCAAATCCGTTTAGATCAATCTCCATCTATTTTGGCCACAATTAACACTTCTTTTGGTCTGTTTAAATACAACTCCCTTCCATTTAATCTAAGTTGTTCTCCCGCCATATTTCAGGAAGTTATGAATAAGGTAGTCAGTGATCTTGAAGTTGTTGAAGTTCATCACGATGATTTCATTGTTCTGTAGTGACTCACGTTTATCACGAGAACACGACTGGTTTAATAAAAACAATTATTATTATAACCAACTGTACCAGTGTTTGTTTTAACGTGCTTTTGTTTGACTGTGCTAATGACAGCTTTTTTGTGCTTCCATTCTTTCGCTTACACTTTGATTGTAACTTCGCGCGAATTCGGTTACCTTCTGTAACCAAGGTTTTATCCTGGCACGATCTCGGTATCCTTTCGATGCCACGAGATCGCCAGCTAATAAACCTCGACTTGGTCCATTAACTGTCTTCTGGTATTCGGCTTCTCGGGGATTTTATGGAGTCATTTGGAACGAGCTTCTTACGCCTTCTGATTCGCTTGGCACGTGTTTCTTGGTAGCGGTGTTCATAGTTAACCTCAACTCGACGCCACGCTACAATTGGTAATCCCAATTTGACCACAGTTCATGGTTCTGATAAGGTAGTTCATGACCAGAGACTTATTGATTTATTACGTCGTTTAATTGAGAAGAATATTATAGTGAATCCAAATCAGTGTTCATTTTGTGTATCTAGTTTCAGATGTCTTGGATACCTAGTTGATGGTAATGGTTTTAAACAAGATATCACACGACTAACTCCACTGACAAATGCACCACCTCCAGAAAATCTTCTGGAACTACTTTCACTAATGAGTGCCTTTCAATACTATTCCCGTCTTATTTCAGATTTTTCTTTTCGTGCTAATTGCTTATTCAATCTTTCGACATCCAATTGCTTCAAATGGGATGAGGAACGAAATTCATGCTTATGAAGTCTACTAAAGTTTCTTCAAAGTGATGCTGTTCTTCGAACTTACTCCCCCAGTGTATATTCCACACTTATTATTGATGCATCACCTATGGGTGTTGGTACAGTTTTGTAGCAGGAAGGTAGACTGGTTATTTGTATTTCGCGTAAACTTACTGTTACTGGACAAGGTTATTCACAAACTCAGCGAGAAGCATTGTCTGTGTTTTGGGCTGTTAAAAGAGTTCATAAATATTTATTCGAAATTAAATCCACTATTGTTACTAATCATGAGGCTTTAAAGTTTATTTATCCTCCCGAAAAACCCTTAGCACGTTGCTCGGATGCTATGGTTCAACGATGGAGTATCGCTTTGAGTGTCCATGATTACACGGTTTAGTACAGGAGTACCAAACAAATTCAATACGATGACTACATTTCTGGACAATCATGTTGGTGGTCAGAGATAAATTCAGATACATGTCGTACAGCAAACAATTTTGAAAAATATCATAAGTTTAGAAATCAGCGTTCGAAATTAAGTCCATGGACAGTATCATCTGAGGCCTGGCGGAAAATTCATCCAGACTATTGTGGTCCATTTTTCGGTCAATACTATGCACTCGTAATCATTGATTCTGTTTCTGAGTGACCTGAAGTTTTTCATAACTTCAACAAATTCTGACTTGACAATCCAAGCATTAGGAAAGGTGTTTAGTCGACAAAGAATTTCCTATGGTGTTGGTGACGGATAACGACTCTCATTTCGCTGCGGATGCAGTCACTAACTGGTTGAATGGTATAGAGCGCAGACATTTGTTCACTGCTTCCAGGCTTCATTTTTCTGACGGCCAGGCAGAACATCTTATCAGGAAATCGGAAACTGCTATTAATTCCATTGCTACTTCATTGTACTTTAATGAACAGCAGAAGGAAGTAGATATATGTCTACTGCAATAGAGGAATGCTCAACATTCTGTAGCGAAAGAGACCACATCAAACTAATAAAAAGGAGGATTCTTCGTTCGGATATAAGGTGTTTGGAGTCTGCGGAAGTCACATATTATCGTGGAAATGATCTTCGACCAGCCATGGGGATTGTGGTGAATGTTGGGAAATGTATTGTACGAATTCTAGATATCAGTGACTTAAGTCTACACAACCGACACGTTGATCAAATACAATTCCAGGAACCACGTGAGTCTGGTCTAATTTCGATTGTTAATTCTAAAACTAATGAGTACATTCTAGACAATAAGGAGTCTTAATCCAGTACACTGTGGAACAGACACAGGATGAACTTAAGAAGAGGACGTATAATCGATCGCAAACACTTAGACTCCAATTAAAGCTGTGGCGGATGTATTGTTTGCATGAACTAAAGCTTACTTTGTACTTGTTGAATGTTTGATTTCGAATTCCAAATACAGTACATTCGTTTGTGCGTATCTAGTACTTCTTAATTAACTTGCGTTATTCTTTGGATTCCTGGTTTATGCCACAATTCAAGTATTTCTAATTATCACACCTCTCTGACCAGTGATCTGTGAAAGTGCATTCAAATGCGAAGTATATGGATACTAGAATATCATATATTATCACCGTCAAGAACTGCGCTGGTTGACGTACACGACCTGGTGCCATTTAAACAGCCATGTTCACTAAGCTCGGGAGCCCTATTTTGACCATTTTCTAAAGTTCACTGCTGGAGAAGTTAACAAGGGAATATAATTCATTTTAGTGAATAAGTTGTCCAACTAAGGTTTGATGGCAAGTAATATAAGTACAGATTTCGACAATGTTATAAGAAGACGAAGGTTATCGGGATTATGTGGTATAAAATAGTGTGATGCTGCCTAACAGATCGTTTGATCGCGAATCCATTTGGGGACCGAAAATCTATACTTAAAACAGCTAGTCTCTTTGACAAAGTTTAATAATGCAATGAGAAGACGATGGTTATCAGGATTATGTGATATATTCGTGCAATGCATTTCGAGAAATCTGGTCACGCATATACTTGTTAAGATATTTTATATTAAATTTAAAGTTCAACTAGACGAATTAAAAGGTAAGTGGAAACAAAGACAGTAATAGGGTACAAGTGGACAACATGAAAACCATGCTAGATAATAAATCAGGGTAGGCTATACAGGAACTGAAACTCCCTTTATGTGTTCATGACGATTTAGGCCCATGTCACTTCAGGTAGTGGAGCAGAAACTTTGGTCGTTGCGGATGAACTAGCCAACTACCTGAGCCTAGATGGAATGCATAGAATTGTATTCTTGAAGACGTCAAGTAATCAGTCATTGTCGCTATGTAACGAAGTCTATACAAAATTTCATTCATCAAATTTTTCGTCACATGTTAAGATTCAAAAGGTGTGGATGATTGAAAGATTACGTTCATTATACAGAACTGTATCGACGGCAAGTCAGAGAGCGTCCTGTTCTCAATTAAAGGATTTGAACTTTCCAAGGGTAGAAGTAGAGAATTTCAAATTGTTAATCGGATGTGGTGCACAGGACGCATGCGAGATAAAAGATCTAAGGACTGAAAAGGCGTCTGAGCCATACACTATAAGGACTAGATTAGAATGGACGCTGTTTGAACCCTACGAAAAACCTGACAATAGCACCCATGCGCTTAGCCACCCTTCTGCTGAGGATGAATTAAAGCATAACCTCATCACTGTGCTTCACTACACTGACTTTTCAGGATGAGATATTTTGATAATGAGGATAAATTCATTAGGTGTGTAGACCACCAACGTAGATGATTTATTTCGAATGATTGGGAGCCTCCTTGAGTTATATGGGAATGGTGTGACCAACAGCTAACTTCGAAGCAACACCTCGCGATCAGCACCTAACGTGGTTTACCCCTTAGTAATATTAAAGCACTATTGTTGCTTGGAAGACCGTAAAACGCGAAAGTCGCTATCGCAAAAATATGTTAGTTATAACATGTACAAGCGAAAGTGTAACCAGCATCATATGGGCCAGTCCATGGCGCAAGATAAATTGTTTCGCGTTGGTTGTCCTTGATCTTGATGAATTGTTCGATATTCGGTGACCCACTTCTGGATGATTTGGCTACGGCTCGGTGAAATTTCGCTGGCCCTACATGTGCATTGTGCATGAAAGTAAAAAGCTAGTCCACATGTGTAATGTATTGATAAGTTTTGGCACGATATACAAAGCCAAGGCAAAGAGTTCATGATTCAAAAGGTTCCTAAGTTTATAAGGATTTACCTTACTCAAATAGACTAGCCACAATGTTAGTGACGGATTTCATTCTCAATAATGACCTTACTGAGAGAAACCCGACCGTTTCTGAACCAAATGAATTGATAAAAGGAACGCTGGAACCATATCGGAACTTTGGAACGGAGAAATTAGTTTTTGATTTTCAGACGCTTCATGGGAATTTGACTGAAAATTTATTTTGTCTTATATAACATTCATCTCCAACCAGGTTGGAGTCATAGCTACAGTAAAATTACCGGCCAAACTGGTTTTGCAGGACGCACGTCGACAGAAACTTGACTGCGACATAGAGTTACCCAAAAAATTTCAAGCAAAGTGGAATTGTCGGTCTTGTCATATGAAAGGACTGAACAAATTATGAATACCGACATGTCTGAGATCAGATTGTGAACAGTTGTGTGCCCCGATTCGTTGTTTCTCTAATGCCTCCAAGCCTGTATATGGCGTTATTGCATACATCTGTCATAGAGATGTTTCTATTCAAATTCGTTGAAAATTTCTTCTAGCCAAGTCTAGGTTTGCTCTTTTGAAACATGTTACTTCACCTACAGTGGTAGTAATAGCCTAGATGTTGTGCCAATTTTGCGAAACATGTCAAAGGACAGTCAAATTTCTCCATTTATTCGGTTTTTTATTAGACGGATTGGTTAATCGTGCTTCATTCTACAAAACTTTGCAACTTCAAGATTAGATAGGTTCGTAAGTAATACGTTAGCAACCGTACATCAGTTATCTACTCCAAACTAATGGAGACTAGTGAATGGTAGACTGATTCCTGAGGATTACGCACAAATTATAGATCACAATAAGCCAACGGTTTTAAGACCTGTCATTCATGTAGGGGAAAGAAATCAAGCTGTGAAACCTGATAGAAAGTAATAACATTTTGACCCGTTTAATACCATGAGAGTTTGAATCTTGAAACCACAATGACAATTTCATACATTCAAATCACGGTTCGCATTACTGTGGGTACTTTTATAACCCGGGAGGTTTCCTGTGGCATGTCAAACTACCGGAATATGAAATATCTAACCTTAGCGATTATTGGTGGGTATCGATATTTCAAAAAGAGATATAATATAATAAGTTCACAGTGGTTCATACATTGTTTAACAAAGTAACCTAACCAATCTATTGTTAATATCTGAAAACAATGTTTCTAGATAGCAAGATGAGGGGTCATAAAAGACGAAAACGAAGATCGGAGTGAACAGACTAATTTGTCGAACTTTCAAAGAGAATCTCAACTCTTTTGCGTTAGAGGGTCTGATCCGCATTGACGAGTGTCGAAAAACATCGTCTCTACCATTCGGAACCAAATATCTGGTTACACTTTCTAATAAACCAGTTGTTACGGATTTGATTGTAATGCCCTATCCTTTTCTATACGCCTATATCGAAACTACCCACACATTAGGCAGTTTAGGGAACAATTTCCTACAGGTTTAATTCTGAGCTATTCTCTTAGCTAGATAAACTTTATCTAGCCAAATAGCTTGCTTATTCTGACTTTGGCCAAACCAAGACTCTATATTCGACGGTCTAGAGAATAGCTCAGAATTAAACCTGTAGGAAATTGCTCCCTACAGGCAGTCTCCATAAAGAGTATTAGACTTTAAGAGGTTACCGTCCAGAGTACTGAAAAAATGCTGTCTATACAGAAGACGTTTTTCTATGCCACGTCTCCAAATAGTGGAGCCATTGCCGGAATCCAGGGTAGAGGTCAACTCATCACCTTTCAACTCCTTAGGCGTGGACATTGTCGGGGCATTCAACACCGTGTGAGGAGTAGCTGTCGAGAAGCGCTTTGACTACCTATTCGCCTCATTCTGCAGCAGTCATTCACACTATAATGTCTAACTCCCTAGGTATAAACTCATTTATATGTGTAATATCAATTTTTGTTGCCAGGCTAGGATGCTTGGGGCACATTTTTAGTAATGGTGGCACAGTCAGAAGTACTCTAGGAACGTCTCTGCTCCACGATTTACTGATAGATGAAACTTCGAAAACCATTTTGGCTGCGTCTGAGTCAATGCTGAACGACAGATCCCTAATGAATATGATGGGTGTGTATGTTGCCAAAGAGGCATGTGCTCCAAATAAGTCATTATTGGTCCATGAGGGATTGTCATTCCACAAAGATTCAGAGGACAAAACTTTAATATATAGTACCCAGGTGACTTAGTACTGAAGGAAATATTAGTCTATAGTTTAAGTCCATTAACAATCAGGTTGGCAAAGTCCCTGGCGAACGAGTCCAAACAGCGTATTTGTGGGTGGCAATTCAGAATGTATCAGATTTATGCTGACTAAAGGAAGTCAATTGTTTAGTGACTATAACCCAGAATCATGGATGCAGAGGGCGTTTCAAGGGGATTGTAAGATGTAATCAATAAATAAACCAACCGACTATAGTACTACTCGGCATCCACCACTTTGACTCTCTTTAGCCTTGTATAAATATGCCTTGTCTATTCGCTAACCAAAATCATCTATGTTCGCTATAAACGATTAACGTTATGTCAACTCATTTTTCCGCGTCTTCGTACACTGGTTTTGTGCATAGTTTACATTAAGCGTGATCTTATTCGAATATATACAGATTTTAAAATATTCTGTATTACTTGATTGTCCACAGGCCAAACCCTCAAGCTACCAAAGGCAAAGTCTTAGCTTGTTCTAAGTTAAAACAAGTAGGCTATTTGGTTTGTCCAACCTTATGTTTTTAAAGAAATAAGGTGTTTGTCACACTGATGAAATCTTAAATTAATGAGATCACAACACAGAACTTATTAAGTAGGCATGATGAAACACTCTCAAAGTTACCGAAAGACATGGTTACAAATGACTTAGAGTGATAGCTTGGACTGTTTTGCTAGTTTCCAAACAGATTTTATGTGTATCTGTTATGATCTATCAATTAATTTGCAAATTATTATTTTGGGCTTCTCAAAAACAATCTCAGCGTTCAATAAGGACAAAATTATTTTTAAAGAAATTTCACATGCCGATCGTTCAAATAATGTAGATGAGTTATAATTACAGTCGAGAATTTCGGAAGTACTAGTATTGAAGTATTAACC